TATATATATATGTGTGTGTATATATATACATATGTATGTATGTATATATATATACATATACATACATGTATGTGTGTATATTCATGTTTATGTATATACACATTTACACACACACGTGGATATATCCCAGTTCTAATATATATATATATATATATATATATATATATATATATATATTCCAGCTATCAGTTATGAGGATACATCCGAGTTCTAAAAGAGAGAAAAAAAAAACATCCAGCTATCTTAGAAACCGTGGTCAAAATTTCATCTTATATTATTTCAATATTATTTTAAATCTACTTTCAAAATGATGACGCTTTTCTTGCAATGCTACATGAACTGCTTAAAGATTTTCAGCTACTGAATAAATCTATATTTATTACTCTTGTTTTATCGAAATGCTTGAGCACCTTTATCCCCAGCATGGTCAAGGTGTACAAACTACTTCCAAATGATACTCACAGGCTTAAAGAAAAGGTTAATAAAGACTTAATATTTCATTGTATTTTACTTGTAAAAATAATAACAAAACTAAACAATATAGATTAAGTTAATAATATCCCCACATAGTAATGACGTAATTAGTTACGTGGAAGAAAACAGCATTATTACCCGCCGCTTAGGGACCAGAATATACACTTGAGGGAGCTGGAGGACTATAGTTACCGCCAAGCCCATTACCACCGCCTGAACCACCGCCAAATCCACTGCCGGAACCACCGCCAAATCCACCGCCGGAACCACCGCCAAATCCGCCGCCGGAACCTCCGCCAAATCCGCTACCAGAACCACCGCCAAATCCGCCACCAGAACCACCGCCAAATCCGCCACCGGAACCACCGCCAAATCCTCCTGATCCGCCTCCACCGATGACTTGTCCTCCGCCGTTGGCAGCTGCTTGGAGAGCAGTCTGGAGATCAACTCCAATGGGCAGTTGAGGGTTATCTCCTTCAGCATAGTTGACGAAGTAAACCTCAGGGTTGGACGGTGGAGGAGCTGTCACTTCGATCACTTGCTGTCCTCCTCCTCCATCGTCCTTGTTCAGGACGTACACCACGCTCTGTTGCCTTGGTGGAGGAACGATGATTGGCTCAGGTGCTGCTCCCTTCTCAGGAACGCGGACAAATAGGATGTTGTGGTCGATTCTTGGTGGAGGAATACTTGGCGGTGGACCGCTTTCTTCCTGCTGTTCGGGTGCGTCATAGACAAATACGTTGCGTGAGATTATGGGAACGACACAGGAGCCATCAACATGAAGAATCTCTCCCGCATTGCATCCTCCTCCTCCATATCCAGATCCTCCACCACCTCCACCTCCAGAGAATCCTCCACCACCGGAGAATCCTCCTCCACCGGAAAATCCTCCACCACTGGAGAATCCTCCACCACTGGAGAATCCTCCACCACCGGAAAATCCTCCTCCTCCTGAGAATCCTCCGCCGCCCGAAGATCCACCACCACCACTACCATATCCATCGGGTGCCCCGCCCACAAGGACGATACAGAGTGAAGCGACCTGTGGAGTAAATGTTCGTGTTTAATATATATATATCCATCAAGATATTGTTTTAAGCACACAGACGTATTTACACACACACATATATATAACTTAATAAGATTAGAGGAGGCGTAACTCACCAGAAGCTTCATGGTGGGTGACTGTGCCTATCAAAAATGTTCATCATCTTATATACCGAACGCCGTTCACATGTACACTATTGCCTTCTCGCGAAAGGCGCTGGCTTCTTAATCTGCGACCATTACTTGGCATATTGATTTTTTTTTTTCTTTTTTTTGTGGAGAGGGAGGTAGATCGGATCAAGTGAAAGAAATGTTTTTTGGTCTGTTTTTCTTTTCCTCTGAAAAAAGTGACACGAAACTACTGGTTTCTTCCGCATTGGAAAATTACATAAACGTAGCCCTTTATATGAGAAATGTAAATTTAATACAAACAAATATTTTCTACAAGACAAGACAAAAATACTAATAAAATGATATACGTGTCCTTTATATATGTGTCTGTAACATGTAATGATATATATATATAATATATATATATATCCATCAAGATATTGTTTTAAGCACACAGACGTATTTACACACACATATATATATAACTTAATAAGATTAGAGGAGGCGTAACTCACCAGAAGCTTCATGGTGGGTGACTGTGCCTATCAGAAATGTTCATCATCTTATATACCGAACGCCGTTCACATGTACACTATTGCCTTCTCGCGAAAGGCGCTGGCTTCTTAATCTGCGACCATTACTTGGCATATTGATTTTTTTTTTCTTTTTTTTTTGTGGAGAGGGAGGTAGATCGGATCAAGTGAAAGAAATGTTTTTTTGGTCTGTTTTTCTTTTCCTCTGAAAAAAGTGACACGAAACTACTGGTTTCTTCCGCATTGGAAAATTACATAAACGTAGCCCTTTATATGAGAAATGTAAATTTAATACAAACAAATATTTTCTACAAGACAAGACAAAAATACTAATAAAATGATATACGTGTCCTTTATATATGTGTCTGTAACATGTAATGATATATATATATAATTAGATACATAGATAGACGGACAGATAGATAAATAGATACGTGTGTGTTTGTGTATGTGCGTGTGTGTGTGTGTGTGCATGCCTATGTGTGTCTATCAGCAACGCACACACACGCGCACACACACACACACATATATATATATATATATATAATATATATATATATATAATATATATATATATATATATATATAATTAGATACATAGATAGACGGACAGATAGATAAATAGATACGTGTGTGTTTGTGTATGTGCGTGTGTGTGTGTGTGTGTGCATGCCTATGTGTGTCTATCAGCAACGCACACACACGCGCACACACACACACACACACACACACACACACACGCACACACACACACACCACACAACATACACACACACACACATACACACACATACACACACATACACACACATATAAATATATATATATATATATATATATATATATATATATATATATATATATATATATAATTTCATACACATAAAGCTTTATTGAAACTCCACTACCTTTCATTACTTACTATTATTATAAGTTTTCTACATTATGTGTTTAATTTCACTAAAATAAACTTTCTTAATGCTTTAATTTTCTGTTAGTTATGTGTCTCTCTGCTTAGAACCTGAGAAATACATTTTCACTGTTCACCACGGTAATCAGTAAAGCGTTAAAATTGTCCATGACTTTTGAATCTGTCACTGCAATTTCTGGTTGGTGTCTGTATGGGCAGACTTGGCACCCCATAGGTGTAACGGATGAGCAAAACACAGACGTACGCACGGACACAAACCACCTTAAAACTCTCCTTAATGGACTTTTTTCCCGTTCGTGCCCCTATAATTTTCTTTTTTATTTGCGGAAACATAAAACACACGAATTTCCAAATCCCACCCCTTTCGGTTATAGCCTGCCCTCAGCCTGCTACACGAAACCATGCATCGTGCCTCCCCCCACCCGGGTCGCAGACAGCCTCCTCACCGGACCGTTCGGCTTCTTGAAACACACGTGAGTGAGTCGCCACCTCATTTTATTGTAAGTGCTAAAGGCGGTGTCCGTATGAGTTCTCCGATGGTAGGGCCAATATACAAAACTCGACCAAGAATACTCATGTAGGGAATTCTAGTTACTTATATAGTTCACGTCCTTCCTCTTTTTACCACTTGGTTGACTTTCTAACTCATTATGTATATTAGTGTGTGTGTATATTACACACACACACATGAGTATTTATATAAACATATATATACATATATATATATACACACATACATATATATAAATGCATACACATATTATATATATATATATGTGTGTGTGTGTGTGTGTGTATGTATTTGTACACACATACACAAGTCCGCTGACACACACACACACATATATATACATATATATGTGTGTGTGTGTGTATGAATATGCGTGCGTCATCTTTGATTTCAGTTATGGGATTTACCATAAGTAATACCATTTACATTTATCACGTTCATAAATCGTAAAAGTGGACTGTGTCTTTAAGGGTAAGATAATACGTATTGCTCTTATTTTTTATTTGGAAATAGTAACAACAAAACAGAAAACATCTATCTAACATGACTCAGTTGTTTACAAGAGTTTTATGGTGCAGAATAGGCGTTTGAAGGGGCTGGAGGGCTATAGGTACCACCAACACCACCACCTGAACCACCGCCAAATCCACCACCGGAACCGCCACCAGTACCACCGCCAAATCCGCCGCCGGAACCACCGCCAAATCCGCCGCCGGAACCACCGCCAAATCCGCCACCGGAACCACCGCCAAATCCGCCGCCGGAACCACCGCCAAATCCGCCACCGGAACCACCGCCAAATCCGCCACCGGAACCACCGCCAAATCCGGCTCCTGAACCTCCGCCTGCACCTCCGCCTATGACTTGTCCTCCGCCGTTGGCAGCTGCTTGGAGAGCAGTCTGGAGATCAACTCCAATGGGCAGTTGAGGGTTATCTCCTTCAGCATAGTTGACGAAGTAAACCTCAGGGTTGGACGGTGGAGGAGCTGTCACTTCGAATCACTTGCTGTCCTCCTCCTCCATCGTCCTTGTTCAGGACGTACACCACGCTCTGTTGCCTTGGTGGAGGAACGATGATTGGCTCAGGTGCTGCTCCCTTCTCAGGAACGCGGACAAATAGGATGTTGTGGTCGATTCTTGGTGGAGGAATACTTGGCGGTGGACCACTTTCTTCCTGCTGTTCGGGAGCGTCATAGACAAATACGTTGCGTGAGATTATGGGAACGACACAGGAGCCATCAACATGAAGAACTTCTCCTGCATTGCATCCTCCTCCTCCATATCCTCCTCCACCACTACCTCCACCTCCAGAGAATCCTCCACCACCGGAAAATCCTCCTCCAGAAAATCCTCCACCTCCTCCGGAGAATCCTCCACCTCCACCACTGGAGAA